GCAAATCTTCCCACACAGTGATGTAGACATGTGGGGGCGTGTTTAAACGAGGCGTTTTAGGAGGGCGTGGACCAGTCTTAACTTTTATAAAGAATATCTCTTTGGGTTTGAGACTTTAGTCTTTGCAACTTTAGGGATCTTATCTATGCTCGACCAGCTTGTAACACTCAATATATAAATAATAATCGTAATAATTTAATATATTTTTAAATAATAATAATACTGTTTTTATTAATAAAGTATAATAATAATAGTAATAATAATAATTTAAAGTAATCATATTCCACAATATTACTGTTTTTACTGTATTTTTGATCAGAGGATGAAATGAATTGTGTAGCTCTTTGCCACTGCAAACTGGCAAAATGCCATCAGTGGTGACACAGAATGGTACAGCCTACATTGTTCATGCCAAGTGTCTGGAAGTGAAAAGGAAATCAGGAGAAGTAAAATATGAAGAATTCTGGCCAAGGGAAAGGCGACAAATGATAGGAGCAAATGATTTCACGTACACCTTGACTCTCCTCCTCTCTGTACCCTCCTCCCTTTCCTCTCCATCCCACAGGAACCCTGGTCTGCGTAGATAAGGACAGCCTGCTGCTAATTTTACGCAGGAAAGGCAGGAAATGTGAAGTGAAGACTGCTTTTCCACAAACAACAGAGTAGAGACCCCGGCCTTGAAGAGGATCCTGTGTGCCACAGTGCTGAGCAGTCTGGGACTGAAAAAGAGACACAAACAGAGAGAAAGTGAGAGAGGAGGGTCCCTGGAATTGAGGAGTTGGATAGACACAGAGAGAGACACAATAAAAAGTTAAAAGGAAGAGTGAAAGAACAAAAGATTTGGAGGGGAGAGACTGTGTCCTCTCTCGTCTCCCCTGTATCTCTGGAGGGAGCTATGGCGGATAACAGCACTCATCCTATTGTGAAGATACTGGAGTCCTTCGGATTGAGTAAGATATTTTACCATATTTACACACTTTATAAAGAGTTCGCTCTTGCATACACACAAATTAACTCACAGTGTTACAAAGTCAACTTTGTACTTCTAAAAAAATCTGGAGAGTGTAGAAAATGCTGTGTCGAGTCTTTTAAGAAACAGAAATGCAGACTGTAGTAACTAGCGGCAAAAGATATTGGCAAAAGTGGTCCATAAAAAAACAACACCGCCAGTGTGCAGCTTTTTCCATTCGGTCTTTCCAAATGTCATTTCCAGATGATCCTTCACTCTGGACTGTGATTCCTTTCACCTAGGGAGAAAATTGCATATAAACACCCATATTATTTTACACACAAGTCTCTAAAGAGTTTGTGATGTCATATTCTTATAATACTAATAATAATCTGTAGAATAGTTAGGTGCTGCGGTTAAAAATGGCTACAATTTGCCTGCTTCAATCACATACATTACTAAAACAACTCTGGCTCCTATCTATGAATAATTATACTCTTTTTAAAACGAATTTTAATTGAGGAATTAAAATTTACAGCCAAAATTCTCATATAAACACCCACATTATTTTACACACAAGTCTCTAAAGAGTTTGTGATGTCATATTCTTATAATACTACTAATAATCTGTAGAATAGTTAGGTGCTGCGGTTAAAAATGGCTACAATTTGCCTGCTTCAATCACATACATTACTAAAACAACTCTGGCTCCTATCTATGAATAATTATACTCTTTTTAAAACGAATTTTAATTGAGGAATTAAAATTTACAGCCAAAATTCTCACTCAAAGTATTGCCAGTTTCAAAGGACCTTAAATGGCCTGTGCCAGACAGAAGCCCTGTGTGCTAATGAAACTGGTATTTCTGTAGACAATGGAATGCCATAACAGGAAGCTTCCTAAAATGCAAACTATTTAATTCACTTTAACTGTAAAGGATAAGAAAACATTGGGTGCACCTTCTATTGTGGAATTTGTCCCCGCCCACTTTGAGTTGTCAGGATAGGCGCTCCTGACTGACCTTCAATCTCCTGATAGTTTCTCCTTAATGACCCTACAACAGAGACAAGTATTTCTGTCATTGGAGTAGAACGCTGTCAACACTTCATTAGCCATTTGAAATATATAAAAACCTTGTTCAAGGATTACAGGGAACCAATCATTTAACAGCACGTTCCATAAAAAAAGAAACAGAAGCGAATTATTATTCTTACAGGCTGGTCGACATGTTAAAGTAATTTCTGTCAGTAATTTTCTGTGAATTTCGTCTCCCGCTATGCAAACTGTATTTTGGCGCCCCTAGCGCAGTTTGCCAAACAGCGTCAAGCATCTTAAAAATTAAATGTTTACGTGATACCGTCCAAAACTGATCTTGATGACGCTCCTGCTGCTATGGTTACCTCCTAATTTGTGAACGTTCGCCAATGCACGCAATTAAGTCTCCTTCCATCGGCAAACCTCATCCTCACCAATAGACTATGGTGACTCACCGGGCCGCAAGTCGAGCTTCCGGGCCTCTACTTTTCATCCTCTTCTTCAGTGTAGCCAGATAGCTCGTGAGGCAGAAGAGGGTTCCCAGGGCAGCCTGCCACGGACCCCCACTTTCACTACCAGCCCTGGGGCAGCTGGCTCCACCAGCACTGTCAGTTCCATGGTCACTCCACCCCGGGCCAGAACCAGGCCGGATTCCTTCTGGGGCAACAGCAATCTAAGGGGCTTTCATGCAGGCCAGATTCCACCACCTGCCTATGAGAGCATCATACGAGCCTATCAGGAGACAACCACGTGAAGGAAGAGGAGATGCTACAGTGATGGAGGAAGATAAATGTATTAATAGACTTGGACTAAAAAATTGGACAGCTGAAAGCAATATGGATGTCCTACATCTTAAAACATGGCCAGTTTTTCAATGTGTGTATATTTGCATATTTCTGTTTGTTTGTTTGTATTCTATTAAAAAATAAAGGTTCTTTATTGGCATATGGTTCCATGAGGAACCATCCAGGGAACCTTCCATTGAACGAAAGGTTATGTTCTTCTCACAAAGAAAAGAAAAGGTTCTTTTAAGATAAGAACTGTTCCATGAAAGGTTCTTTGGGGAACCAAATATAACCAAAATAGTTATTTTATGGCATCATTGTGAAAACCTCTTTTTGGAATCTTTATTTTGTGCGAGGTCAATCTGAAATACTTACAGAGAATGTTTGAAAGAGAGAGTGAGATGACTTTGGTTTCTACAGGTCTGCTTTATTGATTAGTAAAGACAAAAGACCTATATTTTTGCAGGGAGAGAATATGTCTGTAAAGAGTGAGAGAGAAAAATGAGAAAACATGATAAACAGAGAGAGAAAGAAAGTAAGAGATACTGAAGGTTGTAATAAGCATGGGGACAAATCTGAGAGCATTACTGATCTCTATTGCAAAAAGTTATTGCAAACACTCATTTAAAATCGTTTAGCACCAAACTCAATAGATTGTGTATTTATTGGTTTGTTTTCTGTGAACTCTAGTCTTTTGCAATCATTGTAAGTATTTCTCAACACAATTGTACTCAAAAAATAAACTGACACAATGCATTTTGCAATAGCTTTTTGCATCTGCATGTTTTAATTCCTGCATCTTCATAGAAAGTTTTATACACCTGCCATAAAATGGATATAGTTAACCTAAAATTTAAATTCTGTCTTTATTTAACCACCTTTATGTCGCCAACCACTTTATTTCTGCAGACTTTCTTCTGTGGAACACAAAAGATATATCTTATTTTGTTTTCCACAGAAGAAAGTCAGTCACACAGGTTTGAAACATAACTAATGACAGTATTTTCATTTTTGCGTGAACGATCCTTTTTAATTTGTCCATTTTGGAGAGCTACACATGTCCATGATCTATCATTGAAAACGGGTACTGAGGAATGAACAGACCAAGGACAGAGGTGTTACAGAGGGTTTAGAGCACACACATCCTGGCAGTGACCTGGCATCCTTCACACCCATGGGTAAGTGCCAGTGGTGAGGTGAATTTCCCTGACAAGAGGAAGGAATTGTTTCAACAGGTTAAAATGTATGCTAACTGTGCCATCTGCACTTTGACAGATAGGTTTCCTCTAGGTCTTAGTGTTTATCCTGTCAAGATTCCAGCAAAGCATTTTGGATGGAAGCTGCCATGTCTAAGTTAATTTGCACCAGTGCAAAAAGATATCAGGAAAATTATAGAAATGTGTTTACGTCCTTCTACTGTGCTGAAATATTACCGTTAAATTTATATAGCGGTTTGGAGAGGATAGAATGATTTAATTTCCTGCTAAACAAGGTAGGGGTGATTACACTTAACAATGTGTGTGCGCATTAATTACGGTAGGAAATTTTGAGACGCGTGACACTGATATTTGCGTTACTTACGGTAATGACGCTCTACGTTAATGTGCGTTCAATCTGAAAACAGTTCCTGTTTACATTTGCTGTCAAACGTGATTTATCATACCGCGTTCATTGGAAGGAACTAATGTTTTTATAGGTAAAGTGCACATTTAACGTACAGTTTCAGTCGTTAAATGTCAATCTTGGGCGCAGAGAATGCATTTCGCTAGAATAAGTTACTAAGTTACCCAACTAACTTAACTCGCTTTTTACATACAAGCCGACTGCTTATTACACCATATCAAATGAGGAATTAACATCAAATTAAGATATTTTAGAGCAGTATAAATATCAGCTGTCTCTATAGGTAAAGAGGTGCGTTGACTGTTTCAAAAACAGCTGACTCTGCTGGCATGTCATGATTCCACCACCTCTTTTCTTAATTTTTTAGTATTTAGGTTATTATAATCGACGTGAGAAGATTACTTTAAATCGCCAGCAGTCATAAACAGTGGGCAGACATGTCTCACCGGCCCTCTGGCCAACATTAATGTGTGCCATCGTCGGATTTCTGCTCGTGAAGCCGCCAATGTCTGCGTCCGCCCTGCGAATGATCCGCGTCCGAAGGCTGAGCACCACCGGACCTGCTGTGAAGAGAGCACTGCCATGGAGAGACCTTAGTAAGACTCTGAACCTACTGACATCATGCCTACCTAAACAGCATTTATGGTGTTCATGATGCCCAAAAATGCTGTCTAGGAAGGCAGTTCACTTGCTTTTGAAACCGCTTTAAGTTTAACTTTAATTTTAGGGCCTAAAATTCTTTACAATTGTTTGTAATTTTGGGACGTATAAATACATTTTAAACCCCTTATTGTAACTTTATAAAGATAAACATAAAATTAAAATTCAAATAATATAGATTAAAATAAAATAAAATAGATTTTGTAGTTATTAATAAACTTACGGTTCAAAAGGGGCTATAAGATTTTTTAAAAGAAAATGATACTTTTATTTAGCAAGGATGCGTTAAAGTGACAGTAAAAACAGGAATAAATTACATTTAACTATATTCTAATAGAAAGCAGTTATTTTAAATTTACAATATTATTGTTTTTACTCTATGATCTTTTGATCAAATAAATGCAGCACTGTTGAGCAAAAGAGATTTTTAAAACATTAAATTAAAATAAAATAAAATAAAAAATGTGTATTTTTTGTCCTACTACTTTCCTATGGGTCCTTATATAGTTCATAAATTGACAGATTTATTCTGGATGCTTAACTGAATAATTCTGAATGCTGTTCTTCATCTCTTTTTTTGTCTTTAGGAAAAATAGCAAAAGTGACAGAGCAATAGTATTGGGGTAGGTTTATTATTATTTTTATAATTTTATTTTATTTTAATTTTTTGGCATTTATTTAACAAGCCATCAATAAAATTATATTATACAGTATCATGCAGCACATACACAGAGAATGTCAGTGGAAGCAGCCGTTAAAAGTGATGTATCTTCTAAGCCAGGTTCATTACCCTTTCCAGAAACACATTCTGACTCTATCAAGTTTGCTTACACAGAGGCTGTGTTTTCATCACATACGAGGTGGTTACTCTGAACCAGGCCGTCACTATCAACACCAGTGCCATACTACAGGAGAAGCACAAGTCCTACATCTACCTGACTCACACCACTAATAGAGAACAGGAGAGCCTTGCTTCTGGTACATTCTGGAATCTTTACCACGTGTGTGTGTGTGTGTGTGTGTGTGTGTGTTTGTGCTTGTGCTTGAGAGAGTGTAAATATCAGTGAGCCAAAAGATTCATTTGCATTTACATTTACATTTATTCTTCGAAAGCAACTTGCAACTGAGGAATACTACACCATAAACGATTCATCCTTTCTTTTTTCTTCTTTTTTTTTTGCAGGACCTTTGTATTTATGCCTTAGATTAGATTGTATTTTTTGCTAGTATATTGTAGATATATTGTTTGAGATTTTGCACAATTAGACATTAAAACAGCCCATTCATGTATTTTGCTTTACAGTTAATGTATACAAATGTATTGATTGCCCACAACAGACTTTATTTCTTTTCTAGACTTTACTATCAAGAACAGGAAGGAAATTCATAAAGCAGATAGAAAGTTTCTTGAAATTTCATCAAGAGTTCTTCTTCTCCCATTGGATGGTGAGTAGTTTCATCTCTATTTGATGGCATTGACAAGTCTTGGTGCCTGTTTTAAAATATTGAAAGTAAATATTTGTTGACTGTAGGCACTGTGTGAAACAGCATGGTTATAATAGAGGACATGCTTAGAAAAACCACTTAGGGACAGTTATGGTTATTGCATCTCAGGAAACATCTGCTTTCTGTTGAAAGTTAACTTGACAGTATTTTTGACCTAGATGTCACCTGTGTCTGCACAAAGAGGAACTGACATGGAATGTTGTTCTGTTTTAAATAGGCCAGGTATATTACTGTCTGTTCTGTTCTTCTGCATATGGAATCTAATACACTCTGATTTTTTTTAATCGCAGCATACATGGCACCAGGTTTGAGGCTGAAGAGTAGTTTATAATATACACTACTTGTGAAAAGTTTGGGGTCAGTAAGATAAAAAAAAAAAACATTAAATATCTTATTGACTCTACACCTTAAAGGGTTAGTTCACCCAAAAATGAAAATTCTGTCATTAATTACTCACCCTCATGTCGTTCTAAACCCGTAAGACCTTTGTTCATCTTCGCTATTTTGGAGAGTATCCACTGAACGTAAATTGCGTATGCTGTTTTCTGTCAGCTGTGCGACGCAGATACGTTGTTTATGTCATTTACGCTTTGATTTGAACGAAAACAACATATCTGCGTGGCACGAGGAGACGAATTGTTGAATAAAGTCGTTTTTTTTTTCTTTTGCGCACAAAAAGTATTCTCGTAGCTTTGTAAAATTACAGTTGAACCCCTGATGTCACATGGATTATTTTACCGATCTCCTTGCTATGTTTCTGGACCTTGATCGTGTAAGGATCCTTGCTGTCTATGCAGGGTCAGACAGCTCTCAGATTCCATCAAAAATATCTTAATTTGTGTTCCGAAGATGAACGAAGATCTTACAGGTTTGGAACGACATGAGGGTGAGTAATTAATAGAATTTTCATTTTTGGGTGAACTAACCCTTTAATATAAAAGGGGCATTTGGACAATAAGGGACTAGGGCTGTCAAAATGACTGAAAAACTAAATTTGCATTTTCTACTTAAATATTATCAAAATTCAAATTATATTCGAATTTAAAAGGCATAATTTCAGTTA